TCAGTGCATAGCCTTCATTGTTGTGGCCGGGAGTGTCCATCGTGGCATGCAGCTGTCCTCAAGCACATCTGTTGCCAGTCCAGAAGCAGCCTGTGGCATTCCGGATTCCTTAGCGGTTTCTTCAGGCTTCAGAGTCTCACTGTCGAGCGACTCAACGGTTAACGATGTCATGTCGAGCACTTTGCGAATCCCACGAAGGATGCTGCAAAATCTCATCAAATTGGCGCTATGACGGTTGGTGCTTGCTACCGTGCCACACGGAAAATTTGCTGTTACGATCGTATGGCTCCGCAAAACCATCTCACTTTGGAACGTTTCTGAAATATTGATCTTCCTTGCCGGAGCCTTTTTTTAATTCTATGATAATTTAAGAATATCGTGAGTCGGGGATGCTGCTGTGCGGACAGCTCGGAATGGGAATTTTGTGTGTGGCGAAGGAGGTTCCAGCAAATGCACACTGCACCAGTCGCTCCGAAGTTCCGTTTCCACTGTAGGGAACTCCAGATTCGAAATAAGGGGTATAAGAACTTCTACTGATGGCAGCCTTCTGAGAACCCGGTGGAAGTGCGTACGACGGCAATCAGTATGACACTGAGCAAGCATATCAAGATTTTCGGAGCGCCTGAAAGTACATGGGAAGGCGAGAAAGCTGAGCAAATGAGCACCGAATGAGTTGCCTGAGCGGCAGCAAAGTCGCTCTTCAGGGCTCTCGTCACAACTTGTTGAACAAAAATACGACTTTTGGAAAATTTTGCCATTCTCGACGGAAATTGGATTCTTTGCAACAGAATTAAGCAGTATCATGAAAGTTTAGGCGGACAGAACGAAGAACGTCAAAAAATTTCTAAAGCAAAAATTTTACAAGGTGAGGACCACGCTGAGGAATTCGTGGCCTTCTGAAGTAATGATGTATCACGACTTTCAGGACCCAAGTGAACTACAGCACCATGCTCTGTCCTCCATAACGTCGTCGTGCACCGAGAACACCCAGGAGAATGTAAAGAACCGTTCCCAACGCACCCACGCGCATGCCGCATAAACGACCTCTCAAAATATGTAGGAATTGACCTATCCAGCTTTGCTTCACTCGTGCAGTAACTCTTTCTCACCAAATTTCCCTTTTTCAGCCATCTCAACAGTTTCATGGGCAGAAAAGGATTTGATAACCGATACACGGTGAAAGAAACCGCCGACGATCTGCACATCTACGATTTCCATGTTTTGCGTTCGTGCAATGATTTAGCATTCTTCTTGTTAAGAAAGATGTGTGAGTTCCCAGAACTCTTTTTAATGATTGAAAATTATTGAGAGCTGAGTATGTTGCTTTGAAGGCGGAGGTCAGAAACCCGAATTGCTTTCAGGAATCCTTCTTGAATATTTACATTATGCGACTTTATCATTTTCAGATGAGGTGCATGTGTGATGCTAACTGTCGCAGTACCTATTCTGTATTCTGATCTGGTCGTGGTTTCACCGCCCTGTTGGGTTTCAATGTTTCATCTCTTTAAACGACTGTCCAGATGGCTGAAATAGCAGTAGGCAAGAGGCCTACTGTGCAATATGTTTGCAGCGCCGTTTGCAACTCAGCAGGTTCGGCTTTTGCACTGCCGGGAGGGCGAGATCGAACAGCTAAGTGGTGGATAGAGGAGTCGCTGGCACCCACTTGTCGATTTCTTTGGACGTTTCACCCTCATCTGAATTGGGTTGAAGCATAATATCGTGGAGTTTTTTTTTTCGAGGTACAAATTCAATGAACACAAGTATTGTCCAGAAAATCACACATACCATTTGGAAGCACCTCTTCCGTTCTACAATGCGTTTGTCGGTTGCTTTTATATCGTAAGTGTACTCAGATATGGTGCTTAGAAGTTGGGAAATCAAGACGGTCGGAAATCTTAATAAAGAAAAAAGCAGCCAGTATAGGAGTTCTCAGAACCCATCATCGTCATAGAACTTATCTCCAGTCGATCCTCTTCTTCAAATCATAATCACATAACGTACAACTTAAGAATGAGTATTTAGAACACAGGCTTAGTACCCTTTCTTAACTTCTGAATCCGGTAATTTTTTGCGAAATGGACTCAAAGTCGTAAACAATGACGAAAACAACATCACTAATTAGTTTTATGCTTGGCTTTTTTGGGTTTTGCTTTAAACGCTTTTGCCGCTGCAAATCGTGCTCCAACCCAATCGTGCTCCATTTGAGAACCCCATCTCAGTTACGCCTAATTCAGAAGCATTAGTCGTTGTCTGTCTTCAATACACGGCCTTCACCCTAATCTTGAAGCTTTCATCATCGTGAGAAAGGCAGTTTGAATCACGATTGCACAAAATTTTTTGTGCACTAGGGACTGAATGCCCAGCTGATATCCCGACATGTTTCCTAACCAATCGTGGGGGAAACAAGAAACTTGCGAAACAGCTTGTTGTGTATGTTGCAATCGAGTCTTCAAAAGAGGAGCAAAAGCGATTCGATCAAAGTAACAAAAGGCTTAGACAAAGCGAGAAATCTTTCTATCGATGCATAAAGTGCCAGCAATTTCTTAAAAGCGATTCCAAAATGACTTGAAAGCGAGCCACTGAAAACGGCGAAAACAATTCGAACAACCCAATGATTTTCAACAACTTTCATTTTTGAACATCACTGGGTTTTCGAAAGATTGTTACATGAAGAACTTCCTTGGATATAACATGACTGGGTAGAATAGTGATATCATTTGACTCCGTCATGACGTTTGTGTTGGGGTTCTACAAGGATACCCCACACGGCTATTTCGTCCAAAAGCATAAAGATGATGAACAGCATACGCAAGTAATTTTTCCAAGGTTTTCTGGCAGCCAATGTTTTAACGAAACCGCAGGTTGCAAGGCTGGCAAAATGTAAAAACCTATCGGTTTGTACCAGGACTCAAACCAGGTACATTCGGAGACCGAGAGAGCGACGACAGCCACCCTGCTATGTGCGTGCTTTTGTGGGCAACTCGAGGCGAGAACAGAGCATTTAGTTATATGTACATATATGTTTGTTATTACTCATATTTTTATGCAAGCAAACAAATTTATTCATTTCGCACACTAGTTCAGTTATTAAAATGACAAAAAAAATCTTACGTAGGTAATAACAATAGCAACTATTCAAAATGCTTATTAACACTCGACCATGCGAGGTACGTGAAGACCGTTAAGAAGAGCAGGAAAGCGACCTGAAAACTGGGACGTTAGCTGAAGCAAGCAGAAAAGTGCTCGCTCACCAAAGCGATGAAGGCTGCGGGGTATATGGAGGGTGGTGTTTTTGAAGGGACCCGTTTAGGTGGACCAGGTATAACGACTGATCGGGTAATCGGTGATGTTCCTGTGGGTGGAGGAAGCATGGCCTGAATAGAAGGCAGTGCCGCGGAAGTTGTGCAATCGTAAGGAGTTATAATACCGAATGGCCTCCGATCATTTGACTCCGTCATGACGTTTGTGTGCACATGTCAGCGAACAAGCAAAATAGTTTCTCGGCTGAGCCACGTGGGCGACATGGTCGTGTTGTGGTCTGACCGCAAGGGAGAGCAGAAAGGTTGTTCAGCTATCGTAAAAGTAGCAGGTTCGCAACACAAGTGGCGCCGGTAAAGAAGAACGTGATCCTATAACGATCATAGAGAAACTGAATATTCGTTTCATACTGCCCGGTAGTTATGTCTCTGAGGTGGAAATTTTTTCTTCAATATTCCAGAATTCCACATAGCCTGATATACCGCTCGGAACGTATTGATCTGCTCTACAGAACTATGTGTTTCACATCCTCATTCGATATGGTTTAGGTAAATACCAGGAATGCGAAGTGCGAGTCCCGCCGCGAAAATCAGATGAACTGGCAGCTACTCAACCTCAATTTTCCCACTGGAATAAATCAAACAATAATGCAGCATTTGTTGATGACGATTTTAAACATCATACCTTTCGGTTATCCAACAGTTCACGTCTCTTTTGTACTTGCTTTCCCTGCAAGAACGCGTTGGTTGACCGCTACATATTACGGTGATTCGATCAAACACATTTTTATACAGCTGAGGCTTTAAAAGCCGTGGAAGTTTCATGAAACGAAACATAAAAAAGCTACCGAGTGACACATAAAGTAATGCTGACATCTAGGAGTTCGAAAGAAAGTTAATTGAAACTCCGATAACCTACCCATTCGAATCGAGTGTACAAAATGCGTTTTGTTACCTGCCGTCCTATTATTTCTCGAATACTCGAAGTGGAAGCCAGTAAGGTCTCCTTTCGTCTCTGTTGCGTTCCAGAGTGGTCCAGTTAATGGAAATGTTTTCGCGCGAAACGTCGCACGTTTTCCCCCGTGATCACAACTGACATAACCATGTTGGGGAAGAAATAAAAAACGTCGAAAGGCAGGTGGCCCCTAGGGGTGCAGTGTGATGCGCCCTTTGCAGGAACGGTACGCCCCAGCGGCCCAGCAGAGTCGTACCCGCGCCGCTGCCCACACCTCGACCTGCTGACTCCTCGCCATCTGAGTCTAGCTGCTCAAGCAGAGAAAAAGAGCATTAGCATTAACTAGGTCAGCACCAGTTCGACTTGCCCATCGTGCAAACCAACGGATAGAAAGACAACCCCATTACTTGGGTTCATGGCCGTTTTCGTTCAGTTTTCCGTGCATCATTGCTCACCTCAGCTTGATTCCGATAGGCCGCCTTTTTATCGTATACTCCGCGTTTAAAGGGCGCGAAGACATTCATTTCTCTCGTTCACCGCTCTTTGGGGAGCCAGCAATAGTCCTGGTGCGTTTGACATATCAAAAGATCGGTCTCAACGCCATGGGATAGCTTATTGCAAGATTGAATTTTCGTGAAGTTTAGCGCAACGAGAGTGACATGGGGAAATGAAGATTCGACAGGTTTGCAAAAGTTTGCTATCATCAACAAATTATCTTATTTTTCTAAGAAAAAATCAACACAAACATTGTAACATTCGAAAGCCATCCAGGCAATTATGACTTGTGCTCAGGCTTTGATGTCAGTCTCCCATTTGAGATCGAACCACTCGAATTTCCATTCATCAGGATGGCCAACGTGTTTCACTTTGTCCTTCTGGAAGTATGCAATTTAATATTAAATAATTTAATGCGTGCATCAAAGCAGATTAATATGTAGTAATATAATGACGCGTATTCGTTGTCAAAAGTAATGGTGTCAATAAGCTATGGTACCGCTTGTCCCCCTATCGCCTTGTTGAGCAGAATCATTTGACGGTGTCAATGACGCCTCCGTCCGTCCCGTGCTATGTCAGGTACTCGAGTATTTACAATTTTCTCGTTCGGAGGTCTTGATCGAAAAAAGCAGTCCATCACGTTTGTGATGAGCTTTCGTGAAAAAGTCTATTCATCGATGCGGCGCACTCGGGCGATTCAGTCGGTAATTGCTGGTTAACGCTCATCATAAAATCGCACTACGTGTATAATCCAGCTTGCCTTCGATTCCTTGACAAAAACGGCAGTCCCTGATCATAGAGCGTTGATAAAGTTCGGGTATCGGGTGATTTGAAGCGTTGTCTTTGGCTGAGTCGCTTGTCAGGGACAGAGGTGCGTTGTAATTATCCTCCTCAGGTCATGTCACCTTAAATTTAGGCACACTCACTCGTTCAAAGTAAGCTGAGGACTAAGCCTAAGAAGCACAACCATAAATTTAGGCATAAGTCGTTTTGTAAGCATATGCCTATAAGCCTGGACCTGAAACTGAGCTCAACCTTAGATTTCAATGATCGCACAGCTCTGGTGATTTGACCCTAGGAGGAGAACTGAGCCAGAAACTAGGGTACAGTCGGAGGGGTGAGCACGGAGAGAGATGTTCCTTGCCTTTGCCACTATTCACTAGGTATTCTTGTACGTTCCCCATGCCGCTAATCCTCCTGCTAACCTCTGGAGCTAAGTCGTTTATCAAGTTGATCTCTTAAACTAGATGCATGTTGTTGGAGCAATCGCTGATGTTTGTTCCTTTGAGCGCGAATGGAGCACCAGGAACCAGTCCGTTTTGCATAAACACGGTCTTCGTCAGTTCAGTTGCGAACCGATCTTTTCACACGCTATCGAATGAAGTCAGCATTCGCTCTGCTGCTCCTCGTTCAGTCTCATAAGGACGACGTTGTCAAGTAAGCGAAAGTGAAGTAGTTGCCGGCCGTCAGCCTTCACTCCAATGTCTTATCACTGCGGCTAACTCATGCCGTTCTCGAGCCCGGCGCTTAAGTTTGCTCTACTGAACCTTTCTCTTTAAGTCGATAAGGATCCAATCGCACAGTGCTGAAATATTTGCCGCAGGATTGCTACTCGCGGACTCATGAAGAATTCTTTATGCACTTGACAGAATTACCCAGATGCCTACAACTTAGATGACCATTTCTGTCTTCTTAGAGTGGAAAAGACCTCTTTGTGTCTGTGGACGTGAGTGCGGCTTAATCGTTTACTCTCGTGGCACTTGATGGAACCATGAAACTATTCGAATTTGAAGCGTGACTTTTCAATTCCGTTTCAAAAAGCATTATATGTAGGTAGTTTTGGGTTATACACACTCATAGGTCGTTTCTTGAGGGTGCCTGATGGACAAACTCACAAAGTCAAACGTGCTCCATCTAAATGGCGGGACCGTTCCCCAGGTGGGTCCACCTTGAGCACGGAATTCCAATTTCTTCATCATGCTGACGTTTGTTCCCTAAAAAAAAACGGGCAATTGCAATGATCCATAAACTATTCACCAGAAATGTGTCTTCGATTTCACCTTATAGTCGAGAGCACCATGGTTCACATGTCCCTGACCGGGGAACTCGTAAGTACCGTTGGCGGGATTCAAATCACCACGAGCCGAAACGGCCGCCTCTGCTGAGTAAGGTGGGTTGCAGTTACACCTCGAAAACTCATCTTTTGTATAGTTGTTGTACCTGAATACATATATCACACGTAACGTCGTAATTCAGAAGAATCAGAAGAAACTCGAATAGAGCAGATCCCAATGAGTTTGCCAATAATTCGCCAACATAAACGGGATACTAAGGCAGTTCCTGCACTACACTTGCACCACAACTGTGGTAGTAAGGTTGTAGTGGAGTCGTGGTGAACCCGGCGATCCATTCTGAGGGTGCTCCCAACCAGTCCCTCTTGACCTACACTAATGACCCCCTGATATGTTTGATATGGTAAGTTTGGTACGTTCGGAAATGGAAGAGCAGGTGCGAAATGGACTGGAAGTGGAAAGGAGGAACCAAAAGGAACCTTCTTAACATTCAGCTGGAGACCCTCGTTCCCTAATCTATTGAGAAATTTAAGAGGGACGGCCAGATATTGTATGCTAGGTGCTGAGAGGGAATGGAATCGGTAACAGAGAGCACAGAGGCCGGCGAAAGTGGTCACACTATATGAACGGACGAGCTACCTAAATCATACACACTTATCCACGGTCATAGCAGGGAGCTAGCGCTGTAGTTCGCACTTTCGAGCCGCATGAGGCGCTTCTGCAACTTTCAAGAACAGATATATTCCACCCTACACAAGGATTGATTGACAAAAGGATTGTAGTGTGTGCCTTATCTTAGATGGATGGGCCTGCCGTGATGAGGCTTCCTTCTCGTATATGTACAGCAGCGCTCAAAAGTCGTCGGTAAAACCCTTTTGCGTTGAAAACTTTTTCTACTGAAATGAATCAGTTTGGATTCTGACACTAAGGCAGGCCTTGCCTACTTAAAGGCAAGATTCGAGATAAAATAGGTGTCTAAAAGCATTCAGTCATGACACTAGAGGTGGGAGGTGGTCTACAAAAGGGAAGGAAAACAAACGAAATCACAGATTACGCCCCGTACAGAAACCACTCCTATTTCAGCAACATTCCACTTTGGGATAGAGAAAAGGCCCGATGGACGAGTTTCGCGAGCCTGACTCTAATTGCTCCAGTGCCATTGACACAGGATCGCAGTGGGACCGCTGCCTCAAATGCGCCCGCGCTTTTGAAGCAGCGCCACGTGGCAACGGACAGTGGAGGGTGGGGCTTGCGGACAAAGGTGTGAGTTGCAAGTCCGACGAGCTGCTTGTGCCTTTGTCGCGGACTTTCGAGCGCTACAACAACACTTGTCCGCCTGCCTACTACCCCCGGGATGGAGGAGGCAAGCGCGCCTATCGTGGAGCGTGCCTTTAACCAGCACATTCGTGTTGAATGGGAGAATGAAAAAACCTTTTTCTGGAGGCTCCCGAGTTTCCATAAGCATTTCAAATTATTGTAAAAAAATTGTACACCAATTTAGCAATCCAATGCATAATATAATATTAAGTAGATCCAGTGCGTTGTGAATCAAGTTGTAGTCACTGAAAAAATAACACGCCTCGGTATGGAACCACCAGATGAATTCACTATCTATTTGGGCAACTCCCTCCACCTTTCTTCAAATTTGTCGAGTTTCCCTTCCGTTTCCGTGGATTTCTTTGCAAAGATTCAACGCGCTTTCCCGCAATGTCTCGACGACGCCCAGGATATGCAGATGAGGTTGCCCCTCCTTCGAAGGCGCATCATGCTGCCAAGAGCGTTTGTACAGTTGAAGTTTGATGCTTCGGATCGCTCTATTTCTATAATAGAAGGCGAAGTCCGTTCAGTGGGATTCACTACACTTTCTGGACCTACCTGCATATCTCTCCATTCACTACTTCTCGATCCTACGCTTTAGTTCCACCTCTTTTACGGACTATTATAACCGAGCTCCCGCCTGGTTTTACGGTCCCAATCTCTACTTTGGATTGAAACGTTCCGTCAGCGCATCAAATATGCGCGTCGTCGTCGCCAGCAAACATCATGAATTCACTCGTGTCGCCCCAGATGACGCGAATGCCTTGGAGGATTTCCATTTCAGGTGTGCGTACCCATTCCGTCCTTTATCACTACACAGCCGCGCATTTTCACAGGATTCACGAATCGGTGAAGGCAGACGTATACGCTTAGGTTCTTTAGGTGTTTTGTATCTGCAGGTATGGTACCCGTACTAAACTGACTTCGCCTATCAACAATAGAGCGATCCAACGTCGAAGCCCAATTTGCAAGAACGCTCTCGACGGCATGGCGCTCCTTTAAAGTAGGAGCTTCTTCAACTGCATAGCCTGAGCATCGTCGAGACACTGTGGGAAAGAATGACAATCCGCATGCAAAAACAGTCAGGAAAACGGAAGGGAACTCGTCAAGTTTGAAGAAGGATGAAGAGAGTTGCTCAAGTAGACAGTGAACTGGTTCCACACGCAGGCCTGCTAATGTTCAGCGACTAATGAAGTTTATTCACAAAGTATTGGTACTGCTTTATATTATTTATCATGCAGTGGATTGCTCATTTAGATTACAATTTTTTTATAATAATATGAATCCCTCTGAAATATGGTCATACTCGGGAGCTTTCAGCAAAATTATTGTTCATTCTCCACTCTTTCTCCCATTCAACACGAATGTGCTCGTTCAGTGGAGAAGGTTTGCCTCCAAGACATCAAAATTTGAACTGATTTAATTTAGCAGAAAAAAGTTAATAGCGAAAAACTGTTTCACCGAAGAATTTGGAGCGCTACAGTGTATTCCGTATCTGAATTCCCCTGGCAACTCAAACTAACCGCATCAGCTTTGTAAGTGAGTCAAGGTCAGTGACGGTATGATGATCGCGTTCGAATATTCTTGCACGAGGACTCTTACCCCACACGAACCAGTCGCCGAGCTTCTTTCCCTGAAAGCTGGCAAGTCAAGATATCTCGCGACCATTCAATTGTGTTTTCCGAAGACTATACCTGATTGACGAAACCGCTGATGTCTGTGATTTTCTTGAAGTACGGAATATTGTATGAGGGGAAGTAAGAGTATTTTTGGAGGAACCATGTCAGATCCTGGTAAACTATTGTGCCACTGAAAACAGTATTGTTGCTGGAACCATAGGTTGTGCTCAGTCATCTAATCCACTTTTTTTCTGTAACCATCCGAGAATACTCCTCAGATCAGCACCAGGAAGCTCTAATCGCCTCGTCTTGATCTCTTCAGCCACTCTGCATTTACCGAACTACGTTCAGACACTACCACTGCATGGAAGGATATTGCACGGCGCGTCTCCAAAAAGCATTCACGAATGCCTAGTGGCGTTTAGTTATATTTTTTCATTAGAATTGAAACTCACGGCATTTGTTCGAGTACATAGAAGAGTCCATATTCTGGGAGTGGTTTTTTGGGCGTGAATTTATTGTAGTCAAGTACAGCCCTGAACACAGTTCTTACCAATTTCATCTCCTCAGAGAGTAATTTATAGTTAGAGTGTCTGTTACACGAACCACTGATTATTGTAAGTTCCTGAGTTGTATTTTGCGTATATGTGGCACCACTCTCTGGCGTCGCGAGCCATTTGGTTCGCCACTACGGCCCGAATCCATGTTGGGAGCTAAAGGGCTTTCATGGCTTGTGATAGGGCTACTTCAGTTATTAAAATGATATAGTGTAGTTTAAATAAATAAATAATAAATAAATAAATGATATCCACATAATGCTGCTATCTTTCTAACGTAATAACCCTATAATCAGTAATAACTATGTAGTACAATTTCGTGATTAAAATCAGAACAAGATTGGAATTACCTGTCCAACAGCTTGGGTTTTGTTGAAGAGGCCAAGATCGAATACACTAATTGTTGTCTCGATGACTGCCTAAACTGTGATTCTGGATGTGTTCTGTAACATTTCCAAGTTTTCTTGAAATTTTTTTACGCACCAAACCTGAAGACATGAGAGCGAAATCATCAGATGAGTACAGTAGTCCGGGGTAAGAAGCCATTGAAGTGGCATAACCGGGGAAGAATTCACGATCTGGAAAAGCAGGTAGCTATACCGACCTCTGTTATAGCTTCAATGGAAATACTGCCGTTCAAAATGCGTGCGACTTGCCAAAAATACCCACCGTAACCGAATTTGTAGAGCTTCAAAACTCTGAGCATGTTTTGGAATCCACTCATGGTCACTTGAGAGATGAAAAGATCCTCGTTATTAGGTGTCACCTAGAAGAAAGCTAAGAGGGTGAGAGCCAAGTGCCACTCTCAGTGCGTTCAATAGGTAATGGCAAAAGTGTTTGTTTCCATAGGATCTTCCTTCTTGGGACGAATCTGAGGTTATCAACGAAATACCTTAATGAGTCCAGAGCATTTGCCTCCCACTTGATCTTGGACTGGATCCCTACTCTTGTTGAGCTTCTTCTCCAAGTCGTAGAAATCTCCGTTCCAGTTCATGAACCTTGAATATACTTCAATCTTTTGTGACATCCAGCGCTGTTCTTTACAACACATTACTCAATGGGCTCCACAACCAGGTGGTCAGGCGGAAATGACAGTGACTAAAGGAGCCATTTCTTGACTTCTGGGTCGGAAATAAATTTCTGGATCACACTTCGCGCTTACTTTTCGTCCCTTTAGGACCATTTACTTGGTAGTGAGTTCGCCATAGAATTTAGAACCAGAGGTTTCCACATCGACTGGCCATAATATTCTTTGTGGGTTCAAACATGCATTCAAGCGCCCAGCAAATGTAAGAAAAAAATGAGCTCTTACAAATCTCTTCACTCTTCTATATACAACCGAGCTACCTTTGTTGCACTATAAATGTAAACTATTTACTCCTCTTTTTTTGTTCAAACCACTTCCACCATCCCTAAATATAAATCCAGAACTTACAAGATTGGATGCATTTCGTAGGTTATTCCAGGTGTAATAGGTCGCGCCTCATATCCATCAATTAGCCCGGTGAGTTGGTGATACGTTCGATTGACCTGAACAAAAATAGAAAGATGATCTAAGTCATCGACGACAGTGCGGGACACAGATGTGCCGCGCTTTGCAGGCTAGGCGGAACCGCGCAGGGCACTGTGTCCCACACCCATTTCATCCATTTTTTCTTTTGCGCATGCACTAGTTCTTCCCAGGTTTTGTGAATTTATTCGTCAGATATAGCTTCAAACCACGTGGTTTACAAAGCCGTTACTTATGCTTCAGTGTAGCAAAGCTTTTCCAAGCTTTACCGCTCTCACTAAGTCGCGCTGATACCATGTGATCAAGTACGTGCGACGTTATCAATGTGTGAAAGGCAAGTTCCGGGCTCAGCTTCACCGAGGCAGTCGCTCCTGTGGATAGAGGTGTGTAATTTGTCACTGCCGAAGTCGCGCTACCTTCGCACATTAAACAAGCCTCTAGGACGCTAGGCGCTAAGCAATTGGATCAAATCCCACCAAAACTATCAGTGTAGTGCACCCACCATTCGATATCTATCTGTTCACAATATTTATTTGCCATGCTCCCTCTGCTCGGATTCTTTTACCTTCTCCGCGAGTCACATTATCACCTCACGTCTCTGCCTGCTTCTTGGGCTTGCCGCAGCACAGAGCCAGAAGCCCGTATTCCACCAGTTGGCGCCCCACGCGTTGCGCGCACAACACAGTTCTTCGCGGATATGGAATGGTGCGGTGTCAATTTTCAAATAGGGCCAGATAGGGCTTCTAGATAGGGCTCAAATAGGGCTTCGCCAATGGTTGTCCGCTTTTTATTGATAAGTCTCTTGGTAAACCCCGCCTATTTCGGTTCATGCCCAACCCCATTTTCTTCCTCGCCAACCTCTTCTTTCCCAGTTTCTCAACTGTCTTTGAGCGATTTATAAACTTGGCGGCAAAGTGCACCCACTTAGCTTCACCAACCTATAGATGTTAATCTCCCTTCCGTGAACGAACTTTACAGCTCTTTTTCCGGTCTCCAGACCTCTTTGAATCAAGCTGTAAATCTTCGCGGATAACTCCGCATCCTTCGGCGCATCCCCCGCCCACCGACAGCTAGCCTGGATGCCACCGTCGACTGTGCTGGCCACAACCACCTTTTACATTTAGCCTACCCTCCCTCTCTGAGCACAATCCTTTTTCCGCTCTCCAAGAGTACTTGGAACCGAATTATGGCGACTTGTAGAACGCTGTACACTTCAGGGTATTGTGGGCGAGTCGCCGCTCACATCAACAGTTGAACAATCTCCAAGGGAGTTATCACTTTTTTCATAAAGCACTGTTACTCAGAGAACGCCCCGCCCACTGAAGGTGGGTATCCCTAATTTGACCCAGCTTATCAATGCGCACCTTCGTCCACTTTTTTGTTCCCAGACTCTGGGCAGTACTGGAATCTTGTTGTCTTAGTCGTCAGCACCACACATTTCGATATGCGCCACGCCTGCTGTGGGCGGGGCTCTGCTCAGCTTATGCATCTCTTGTACTTCTCAAGACGTGGCGTACCCATACTACACTTGACCCACTCTTTCTAGAAGGATCTCCAGGAGCTACGAAATTTTGCGACAGACATACGGAACGGCGGACGTCAGGCAGGCAAAGCTTATAGCGTAGAATGTTTCTGATGATCTTCTTTCCTTTTTCTCCCCTTCTAGTCCTCACGGGCAAAGCATCAAAGTAGGCAGCTCTACTTTTGCACCTTTTCATCGTTTTATCAGTTACTGATTTTCATTTTCGCTAATGTTTGAAGGAAAAAATGGAACACTGGCTGATATGTATGTTTTTCGAAAATGAAATTTGGAATCGTTATTCTTTGAATAGGCACGAAACTCACTGCCGACCAGTACGTGTCATCTCTGGGAGTTGACGCAAGCTTCTGTTTGATATAGTCTTGATTCTGGCTGACAAATTCGTTCATGCGCTTACAGTATTGCGTAAAGTTCTTACAATAGTCCTCCGCGGTGTTTTGAATATGGTAGTGCAGAACATCACGGGACAAAACACCTGGAAAATTGGTGGATGAAAAAAGTGTTGCAAAAGCAATAAAAGTGACTACGCTACAAAAAGAGTGAATTTTATTACAATTTCGAATCGAATAAATTTGAACTTGCCTTCAAGATAACCAGCTGCATACGCTTGAAGTTCTGGTTCAAATTTCGCCTGGGTTTCCACTTCCAAGAATGTCCACCTGCAATCTGGTTCCCGATTTCATTGTGGAAGCAAGTCGATCTTTGAAGTTCATTGCGTTTCGCAGTTTGTAATAAGAAATGTTCATTTAGATTGACACACCCGGAAGAGTTCACTGAGTTCCGCCATTTTGCCACGGCCACCTGTTCCCGACAGTCGAACCCTAGAAAGGTGCAATATAAACTTTCTTGAAGATAATGTGATAAAGTGGTTAGTGCTGCAATAAATGAATTAGATTGCCATAGAGCCGAAAAAGTCGAAAGGGAATGGCCTACAACCCAGCAAACGGAACCCTCGTTCTCTCCGTTGACTTCTACTTGAGGGCTACAGTTTCACGACTAGTTACCAGCAGCCTTGTGTGTGGGTAGGTGCAAACAGGAATGCGTCCAGAATGAGACAGAGCTTTATCACTTCGCACGTTTCGCCTTGTAAATAACACCTATCGTTCCTTCCAGACCCAATTCCCATTCTCCTACATTCAATTTATTGTGTCACCTACCCTACCAAAATCAATAACCCCAGATGAGGTTATGTCGAGCAATCTATTCTGCGGGCAGAATAGAGTAGCCAGCGGCTATCACGGTTGTATCGTTGTCGCGTCTCGAAAGTATGCGTGTCGCACTAGGGCCCTACAAGGCAAACTACCCTAAAATCCCATAGATAAGAGCGGTCCATAGATGTTTTTTTTCAAAAAATAAAAAAAATAACATAATTTTTCAAAATCATTTTTTACCGGTAATAAAACCGCTCTTATCTATGGAATTTTACTGATCGAATGGCTCTTCAAGTTCTATCCAGAGATCAAATTCCGGCATTTCTAGAGAGATTCCGGCAGAGATTCGGAAAATCGCTATTTTTCTATAGTAATTGTTTATTAAGTGGGCGGGGTTTAGAGTTGAGGGACGGAGCTTCTTCTAAACTTCTTCTCCGATATTTATTTATCCATCCATCAAAGTTAGGGGGTGACGGCATTCATTTTCAATTTCATTCCAATCGTTTTTCACCGGTAAATGAAACCGCTCTTATCTATGGGATTTTAGGGTAATGAAATGCAAATGTGAGCTAATACACCCCATGATGCGCAACGTGGGCTACGATGTAGTAGCTGCTCCCAATACGCGCGTTTTAGTGTAGCCGTGGAGCGAGGTTTTGAAAACTCGTCCGGACACGCTGCCTCCTCATTTCATAAGAGGATAGATTAGATCCTTATTACGGTTTTTCGAATTTTTGCTTTGCTTCTTTTTGCATTTACAGTCAGTTCGGTATCCACTGGAAGGAGCGATAGGTGTTACTTCCAGTATCGGCCGCTGTTATCCCAAAAATTTGATCTACTGCTATTGCTTCAATCCTATGAGGTCCAACAAGATGTAGCCCTTCATTTGGTCAGCGCCGTCGCCTCACAAAAAATCTTTGCCAGTACTCTTACGGACAAAATTGAATTTTTGCTCCGTTTTGAACTAGAAAGCGTTGGAAGATTGTTCAAAAATAATCCGAACTCGGAGCTACCACGAATAAGTTATCATCTCACACAGTAAGATAAGAAACGGTCCCTGGAAAAGGAAGTGCATCAAATCCTGCTTTCAGAGTATAAATTAGCAAATGTTGTTACTCTTCCAGTGGAAGCACAAGATGGATGGGAAATCTACTAGATTTTTTTTAAATATTATTGGTGTGTTGAACCGGTAATAGAACAGGAAATCAGGGCCTGTAAGTGTTTCCTTGTTTGGTCTTCACGAGATGCAAGTCCACGTGTTACAAAAAAGATCGGCGTGTTTTGTTTATCTGATGTCATATTGCTGTCAGCATGATCTTTGATTTGTATCACTGGCAAATGCGATAGTGTGAAGTCGGGAGAAGTGATAACAAAATGAGGCGGCAGTTGTAGCAGTTGCCTTAGAGTGAGCTCAAATATTGTACTACATTTGGGTGACAAGTTGAGCGCACGATCAAGAAGCGCAGTGAGATTTTGACTGCATCAAATTCGTCGTAGTCGTATAACTCGTACATTTTAAAGTTTCGTGATTCCATGACTAATGTTTAGAGAGAGGTTTCAGTTCATTAAACAGGACAGATTTCCAGCTTCGTGTCCACTATGCCGTCATCCGGCTATGATGAAAAGTACACCCAACAGCCTCTCTCAAAGAAGTGGAAAAGCTACAATAGCTAATTTTTGGGTGTGAACGGAAACCTACTCAGTAAAGAGCATGAGATAGTTGACTAGCAATTCCAAAGCATCTTGCGATGATGAATTGTGCGACGCGATGGAATGAATCCTTGCACGATACAGAAACGGTTAACTGTTCGGAGGACATATCGGAGAAAAGTTGAAAAATATTGAGGTCTTCCGGCTCATTGATGAGAGTGCACCATTTCTCGTGCATCATAAGTTTTTAGAGTTTAAGCCTAATACAACAGGTGGCAGATTTTCGAAGAAGCCTTTTGCCAACTGGATTACTCGAATGATTTGGGGTCACTATCAAGCAGGTGGAGGGGAATTTAGTGCAAGTTTGTTACCAAGCCAAATTGCCTGATTCATGACAGACGAAGGGTTGTCAGCCGATGCCCTCCCTATCTGATAGTATCATAGCAAATTATTTGAGGTTTTATATGAGAATTTTGGAGGCCTGCGCAATACCTACCGCGCAGTTCAACTGAAACGGTGAAAGCCTTTGAAAATCATAGGAAGAAATTCTGACGCAGTCGTGTGGGGGAGGTTAACATGAGACGTGGTTGATTTCCACTTACAACATGCCCGGTTGGAAAGAGACCACATCCATTTTGTCGCCATGTTGATCTTCACCCTATAAGGTTGTAGGGCCTTATAAGTCAAAGAACAGTACAAGAGAATTTACTAGGATCTACTTAGAATAGAATCGATCAACTATCAGCTTTTAGAGCTCGATTCCCTATGTTGAGAATGAGCAAGCTAGCCAGCATGTGTGCTAACGCATTTACCTCTGACAAGTCTGGTAGCGGGTGGCGGACCCCGTTGCGAAGAAACGTTTGTTCTGCTCCGGCAGGGTGGCCCGATATTTGATTCCCAGGCCTACTGTACGCTACCGGCCCAAACAAATCTCGTCTCTACTCAAAAGCAGCATAAAGCGTAAAATAGCTTACCGTGGAGCACTGTTAGCTTTCGCTCAAAAATACACATCTGATTGTATGTGTACCGTTCATCCTTGCCTTCTGATGTAGCACTCACCGAACCTTGAAGAAGAAGGGATACTTCAAATGGCATGGCATTCGATTGCATTTCTGAGATCTAACTCACCTGTGATGAGCAATACAGAAGCCAACCAAGTGGCCAGCATTCTTGGGCAGTAGTTGAATGGAAACTTCGTTATCATTCCTTACTTCGGCTTTTGGCTCTTATCAAGAATCATCTTCGATTCTTACTACGCTGGGTCTTCCCTTTTTCCTTCACACAAGCTTGAAATCAAGGGGAACTTCGTAGGTAGTAGTCTTTCCATGTTATAGGACTACATGACAATTCTATTCCTCACAGTCCACTCCCTTCAGGGAGGAACTATCGTTTTCCACAACTTTTGCGTTGCTCATGAACACCGCCAGTATTTTTTTTTGAATAGCAAATGGTGTTTCCTTAAAACTGAATTGCTGTTCTAGGAATAGTGCTTTTTGCGAATTCTTGGCCGATGGTCGCATAATAGTCCGTGCCTGTGATAACGAGAAAGATAAACAGCGACAAGTACATCGAGTGAATAGCGCAATAACCCCTTCGCCGACTGTGCGATGGCAAAAAATTAAGTGATCATAAAAAATTTTACGAGCGAAGTGTCATAAACTCTTAATTCAAGATGACATCCCACGATTTGCCAGCCCCGTCTACGAGTATTTAAGCCGTTCGGAGGCGGTGAACGGTCGGAGCCAGGGTGAATATCGGTCGAAGAAATCCTTGAGAGGAGTGTCGTACTTATCAGGCTCGCTTGTGAGGGGTCGTGCTAGTGGGATTTTGTAACATAAGTGCAATCGTGGTGCAGATAGGAGTAACAGGGCGTAGCACAGCAAAAAACGAAGATATGCGAGGAAACATAATTGAAATATTCTTCGCAGGTTCATTCGCTGAATTGTTCTAACTTAACACGTTGACGACAGGCTGACGCGCATGGGTGTCAGAACTATGTCACTCATTTTAATTGTGCTTGCGCGCCTCCTTCTCGAGTTTTTTTTTGCATTCATTCTATAGATAATACATTAGAGTAGCGATCAACCACATGGCAGCCGGAGCGGTCAAACAGCCCTTGATTTAGCTAAGATATTCTAAACGCACAAAATTTTCATTGCAATTCTTTCCTAGTTTTCCTTTCACTGTCGTAAACATTCATATGAAAGATTGCAGAATTAGTTAATACAAAACTGCGACTTTCAAAATACTTGTATCTGATGGAAGAACTTGAATGTAAATGCTTTTAACTTCACTCCTAGCGAAAATGATGCTTTTTTTGCTTCTTCGTGGTTCTTCGTGGTTATGCGTTCTTCTGAACAAAAACCTACTGCCTTTTATATAGCTAACCTTTGTGCTTTCATCCTTGCCGGAATAATTCTATGAGATTCAACATTTTAAACAAAAAATAAGCCGAAGTAAGGTGCGGACGGCGCGCTCGCAAAACCGCTCCTGTCTCACTCGGTGCAGAATGCTAAGACACGCGATGTCGTCAACGTGTTAATGGGGAGAAGGTATTTGAAAGCAGTACGAGCAACGAAAGTACATCTCCGCAAGGAACGGGGCCACATGTGCGCACGCGCTGCAACGGCACCTCCTTTATATGCCGCCCGCTCCCTCGCCCTTGATACCTCGTTGAGAATAGTGCGTTGTTAGGGATGCTGTTACAAAAACGGCAATAGTTCTAGAAGGTCTTGGAAAAATTAATCTGTTCCTTAGGTTACAGGAGTTAAGAGATGTGTTACAAATTCTGCCGAAGGTCATCATCACATGTATAGCACCATTCAATAGATTCTACTGCTTGAGTGGAGGTCGGATGCATGGCCTATTCTGAGTCGAGATCGGAAGATGACAATTGCTCCTTTTTTTATTGCTTATGTTGAAAGAATGAATGAAAGAGGAAGATCATCCTCGACGGACCCTCGACACAAATATCTCCATAACTCGGCAATTTGGAAGGAAGGTAAACACATTGTTAGAAGGCACAAACTTTCCGCTTTCCGAAACTGTTCGTCTTTCCAGGATCTTACGAAATTAGAGCGATATTGCCTTCTAAGTGGCAAAACAAGAAAATTCCAGCATCCTCGACGCTGCCTCGACGGATTTGAGAGACTACTGGAATGGAAGTCTTTCGTAGCAATTCCAATACTGCGTGATAGTGGCAAATCTAGCTCTATCTAACTCTAACATGTGCCGTTCAAAAGGTTGGGAAATGGAGGAATGGAGCTGTTTCATAGAGGGTGTAAATATCGACGGTTTTTTTTCTTGGGATACCTGCAAATCTGACCCAGGGACAAATCGCGCCGTTGAATCGCTGCCCACTTGTGTATTTGCCGAATCATAGACTCGAGGGAAGAGGCATTAACATAGAAGACAACAGAAGGCGTTTATGATATTATTTTGCAATAATTTTTGATTAATTGATTGAAATGTTTGCGTGTGCTCTGTTTAAGGGAAGTTGTGATAAGACCTCGATTTCAGGAAGGGGGAGGGACGTTTTTCTGAGACCACGTCCTCAAAATTTTCACCCTGGTCGCAGGTGGGTAGAGACTAGTTCGTTACAGCTAAACCTGCACAGAACGTTGACGCAAAAAAGGGACCTCAAATGCTTAAGTCTTTGGTCTCCAGTCTCAAGTCAAAGTCCAAGTCACAGTTAGACAGTCAATATTTGGTATGTAGGAAGTGAGGTCTATTTGATTCTTGCCATCTCAGTAGAGAATCAACCAATATGAAACGTGAATAGAATTGTGTGTAAAAAGGAAATATTCTAGAATGTTGAACCACCATGGCTACTATGTACGGCTTGGAGTGATGATCACAGAACCGATGCATCGGCCTAATATTCAAGCACTTTTCGAAGTGAAGGAAAAAAGGTACATCCCATCTCGAATCGATATAAACGGGGTGCTATTCGAGAAAAACTCAACGTTAATCGCTTGAATTTCTTGAGTCTGACTACACACGTTGCACGTCCCACTTTGCACATCAAGTCGACATTGTGACGCGCCTGCGCGTCCCACTCAAGCCAACCCTTTCCTCGCGCTCTATGGACCATACCACAACGTGACTGTAAGGGATGGTTCATCGTATGACCAAATATGTTTCAGTTCAGCAGAGGTTTTCTAATCGCTACCAAACTGGCAGCTCGGTTCATTCCTCGTTTTCGTTGAAAAATATTGGTATGTTTAGTAAAAACGTGGGTAGCAAAGTACATGTTTCTTGCCACATCAAAAATACTTTTGACGACCGTTACACACAAAACGAGTCAAATCTGCTTTCTCATAAGTATTACACGTTGTTTTGATCGGAGTTTCACCACTCCACCCGATTAATTTTTACGCATAGAATATTTTTTAAGTGGTTCTAACCAGCCATGTTTGGCCTTGTTGTCATTGCATATCTGGGTATGTGAGGTGAAGAAGTGACCAAGCTCGCACTAACAAAAATGAAACTGAAAATCTTCAACAGAATTCCTGAGAGAAGAATCGAGCGCACTTGAAAGCGTTCGTATTTCGAATGTCGTAAACGGTACTACTTAGTAAGCCTGCCCATTCTATCACACTTACTACAGAGCGTTTCCAAAGTGAGTGGACACTCAAAATCCACGTTTACGAGGTAACCAAGAGACCTCGTGCTATGAACATCTCCTCAGTAGACTCTCTGTAGTCGAGACCGTATCACATAAAGTTCTTCTTCTTCTTCTCCCTAGCGTTAGTCCCGCGC